ACAACTTTGTTTTCAAAATACATTTATATCAGAGTTTTCCCAGAAACATAACACAATAGGAGGAGCTGTACAATCATGCCTTCGCCTTGCCGCGATCCCCTGAGGTACCTGAAACAATAAACTGAAACTGTAAGCCCGAGAGCTTAGTGAGTTACCCCCAAAATACTGATACATATACAGTCCACATAACAATATCAACATTAGCATATCATATCAATTAAAAATGGAACAGAATGCACTGGGTCCACAGCTTTACAAGCTGGACTACCCTTGGGCCCTCATTATGAGTCTGGAATGCCTACCGGGCCCTCAGCTCGTATCTGGAATGCCATCGAGCCCTCAGTACGAGTCTGGAATGCCTACCGGGCCCTCAGCTCGTATCTGGAATGCTCTCGGGTTTGTTGGCTATTGCACGGAGCAGTACAACCTCAACCCACCCCACATAACATGTCGACATGTAACAGATAAATGCACATACATGTAATCAATCAGTATCACAGGCAGTCCTACAGATCTAACCGACTAGCACATCAATTGGCATGCATTACTAACTCAAACTCAACATAACAATAACTACTAGGATATCAAATCCAATGGGCCAGCCTTTGTGCCTTAGACCCCTTAGTATAGTGAGGATAACTCACCTCGCAACTGTCCTCGGAAATAAGAAAGCTCAACTCCTGGGTCCAACACGAACTCCGCCAACTAAAAGTACCACACGACCTTTTTCACAAATCTCCCAATCCCAGAAACCCACAGAATTCAATTGGTCAACCCCTTGGTCCAAGTCAAAATCCACAGTCAGAGTCAACAGTCTATGTTGACTCGACTCGCCGAGTGCAGGTTGCCGACTCGCCGAGTTCTTCCTGAGTTCGAGAAGTCGTGGAATCCTCGACCTACTCGCCGAGGTCTCCTTTTAACTCGTCGAGTTCATATGCGGCCAAGATTTTCGGAGAAACCCTAGCCAACTCACCGAGTTTTCTAACACTCGCCGAGTTCAAGGCAATATTCAACGAACTCGCCGAGTTGTTCATCCAACTCGTCGAGTTCATGGCCATCTTCAACGGACTCGCCGAGTCCCTTAATCAACTCGCCGAGTCCATGCAGATCTTAATCCATGCAGATGCTCTTTAAGCCATGGCAAGGCCCCAAATTACAGATCCAAGCTCCTAAGGCACGTTTAGTACGTAAAGTTGCAATCTTTACGTACATGCAAGGCTCTAAAGGCCCAAAATGATCAATCTAATCTCTTTAATGGAGTTTTACACCTTGGGAGGGTTTCAACCTTGCACAATCTGGAAACTTTATGGATCTAGAGGTCAAGGGAAGTCCAGATCTGAAGTTATAACTTCAGATCTTAGCTTAAACATGGAGAGTCCTTCATAACACCCATCTAAGGGAGGTTCAAAGTGAAAAGGGCTTAAGGAATAGCCTATTACCTTCCAGAGAGTGATGTCTGATGCAATCCCTTAGCTTTCCCGAGTTCCTGGCCTTGCTTTTCCTTGCTTCTTCAAATGATTCCTTCCAAGGTCACTCCTTCAAGCTTAGATACCAAAGAACACACACACACACATTTTAGGGTTTGAGAGGGACAAGAAGCATAAGGGGAGGCTGTTGGAGGCCAATGATCCTTTAAATAGGGTGTAAAACCCCAGAATTTAGGGTTTCACTTGCAAGATCCTACTCGCCGAGTCCCTTGGTGGACTCGCCGAGTAGGTCACTAAACACGCGTTCCATTCCCACTGCTACTCGGCGAGTAGGGCAACCAACTCGCCGAGTAGGTCATAAGACCAATTATTCTTTAATTAAATTTATACCTGGAATCGGGACGTTACAAGAAACATGGGGCGTTGCACTACAAAGGGTCTCATAGAAAAAGTTAAAAGACAACACCAATGAACGTCAACTATAAAAATAGTTGGTGAGTACAATATATTTAAAAGTCAACACATGCAAATGATCCTACAAGTGTTGTGTCTCTACGTGCCTCTTACTAGATGATTCCTAAAAAAGCATGTAAAACGAGCATCAACTATAAAAATAGTTGGTGAGTACTCACAGATTAAAAATAATATTGGTTTCATGAATCAAAATCAAAATTTTGATAAAAGTTTCCATAAATGAAAACATATTGCAAAAATGATTAAATAAGTTTGCATAAACAAAGTTTGTTGTCATCATGAGAGATAAATTATGTTGGCCAAATGAGATGCAACGTTTATATTCTCATGGAAAATAAAGTTCATTACTAAAACGAGCAAACAATTTCATTGCAACAACGAGCAAACAAATTCATTGCTAAGAGAAGTAAATAAGTTTCTAGTAACAAAAGTTTGTTGTTATAATGAGAAACAAAGTTTATCGCTATAATGAGAAACAAAGTTCATTGCTATCATTAATAAGTGAGTTTGTATGTATATGAGCAAACAATGAGTTCCCAACGAAGCCTATGACTGATGCCCTATCAAGATGTATGCTTATCGTTCCATAGATTATATGGTATAATGCACTCCAGCAATCGGGTGAGTGAAGAGTTGTCAATTCCTAATAGTGCTACCCATAATGACCATTGGCTCAAAGAGTTAATGGTTGGAGTAAAGTGTAAGGGAAGGGACTTAAGACGATAAGGCCTCATGTTTCAAATTGCATAAACATACATAGCAAAATATAGCAATCAAGTTTGATACAAATCAATGTAAATACAACGAGCAATAAATAGTTTTTCGGACATGCTTTTCCACCCCAAAACATAAAAACCGAAAATAAAGGGAGTCATGAATACTCACAATGCATTGTGATGATGCAGATGGTGCCTTTAACTACGTTCCACCTGTACCACTACCGATTCCTATAAGAATGGTATACACTAGTGAGTCTCTAATCGAAATCTAACACTAGTATACTTACTACTACAATAGAAATTATGTCAATATTGTATCAAATTTTAATATGGTTAAGTTACAAACATTTTTCTTTTAAATTTAAATTTCTATAAATCAATTTGTTGTATAACAAATTCAAATGGAATTTCACATTATTGAAATGTTAAAATTAAACATTTTAGGAGGTGTTCCAATGATTAAATATTAAAAAACTAAGTCAATTTAGTTCCAAAATTTTCCAAACTTTTCATTTCAGTTCTAATTGAAGTCAAAGATATTAAGATAAGTTTTCTTTTATTTTTTATTTGTCTAGCTATTTTTCACTATTTTAATTTCTTGAATAATCATAAAATCATGAAAAATACTAAACAGTTCATAAAAATTACCAAACTTCTGATTTTGGTTTTAACTGTGTCAAAGCACTTCCAGATAAATTTTCATGGATTATAGGTATGTATAACCATTTTAACTGCATTTAACTCTATAGATAGATATAAATTCATGAAAAATATCTATCAATTAAGAAAATTTCCCAAAATTTATACATTACTGATATGAATCATATATAATCTGGGAAAATATCACACCCCCAAACCAGAACGGCGGAAACATTCGGGAGTGAAGGACGTCATGTCAAGTATCATAACAAATGAATAGTAAAGAAAGTACATACAACGATCATAGACATAATTGAAAAGTTTACATGATTGTAGTATTACATGTTGGCAAAAATCAATTACATTATGATGTTTAAAAGATTAAACTAACACCTAGGAGTAAGTCTTCAAAAGCAGTAGCTAACCATGTTTAATGATTCCTTGAGAATACAAGTTATTTTGAAGAAAAAGTATCAACATTTAAGTTGGTGAGTTCACAAGAAGTTTATTTGAGTAATTGTATGTCATTTGAAAAGACCGCGTTTGATTTAAGAAAATCTGATATTTTCTTAAGAATGATGTTGTAAAACCGTAGTTATAAAGTGAATGTATTTGAACCAGTAAAATCCTATATTTTCCTATAAGTGAGATGGAGTCTTAAATAATCAAGATTATAACCAATAAGCAAATATGACATGCTTAAAAACAAAGCTATTCGATAGGAGTATTACTTTATTCATGAGTTATTGTTTCAGCGGTTGTATGTTTCTATAACATAGTATAGTGGCTCTTATGTAATATGTTACACTATATATTGATATCAATACATGCAACCCCAATCAATGAGGTTTCTATATTATCTCATAATAGGGTTTCTACATTATCTTAGAGATGGAGGAAAGAAGTGTGTGTGTGTGTTTGAGATAGATAGATAGATAGATAGATAGATAGATAGATAGACCGGAATCAAAGAAAGAGAGAGAGGACTACGACGGTGGCTTGTAGGTCAATAAGGATCAAGAGATAAAAGTTGGAAGTCTATGATACCATGTTCCAATATTTTCCACAATGAATCTCTCATTAAACAATAAATATACACCAAATAAATAACATGCATGGGCCTACATACAAATAATGCAAAGTGGGTAAAGCTAATGGGCTATCTATACGAAGTGTATAACACTAAATTAAGGATGAGGATATGGACCGGGAACCGGCAGGAACCGGTCCAGCCGGGACCGGGACGATATATTTGTGGAATTTTGGAACCGGGAACCAATAGAACCAGCAAAAACCGAAACCGTATGTTGCTATTTCTCAAGGACCGGTCCCAACATTGAAGACACAGCAACAACCCGTAAGAATCGGAACCGGTAGAACCGTCCTGCGGTCCGGCTCGGTTCCTATTTTCCACCAAGTTCAGTTCCCGGGCCGGTTCTGGTTTGGGTCGGTTCCTTTGCTCATCCCTACCAACTAAATTTTATTTGCAATTTTGAAAGTTTCCAATGACTGATTATATAATATCGATGTGATCAACTGATAAACCTAATGCTCGTTGGGTTTGATAAATTGATTTATCATTAAATAATGATCATCAAGCCAAGCGGTTTAGATCGTTTACTTCTGTATCAACGAGAAATCAGCTATATATTTAGATCTGTAAGATGAAAAAGGAGAAAAGACAGATATGTATCTGACATTCAAGCTTGATGGCATGAATAATATATAGTTCCTAGACTATCTAAATACAATGAGCTATAATAATGCAAACAAAAAGAATAACAAAGGCTTTACAAAATGGTGATGGTGTTGAGACGCCTCCACTGCTAGTGGTAGCATTCCCGGTATACACCACAACTGGACTGCGGACTTTGTGCTTCTCACTGGTCCATAACAAAGACCCACTCTTTACTGTTAGTGGTGACTTGATACCTTTTCCTTCAACAGTCACCACGAAAGACAATTTCTGGTTTAATGAAGTGAATTGTAGAATGTTTGGATCTACACGGATGTTGAGCTTTGAATCTCCTTGTATGGATGCAACATACTTGGAATTAGCATCACCCACATTGGTCACCGTTCTAGGAAACGACAGCACAAATGCAGATTTCACATCAACTCGTGCCACCATTGAAGGGTAATTTAGTTGTCTAAGCGTAAAATTGGCATGACAACTAGCATTTACGCTGTGAGATATATATGTTGCACCATATCATTTGATAGTCTTCTTCAGAGATGTCATACACAAGCCCTGGATCTTTAGCCTTTTGCGGATCAATATGTCCAGACCCATATGCAAATTCAGCATCTAAGTTCTGGATAGGATCCATTTCCCATGCTATGACACAGATAAGCAAGAAGGAATCAAATGAGCTTTATAAATTAAGTTTATTAATTTAGTAATACTAAATATTGTTTGTGAGAGAAACAATACACAGAATATGAATAACAAAAAGACGGGTGTTTCATCCAACTTTCTCAAGCTTAGCTACTTGAAGAGGGTTAAATTCTTAGGTTAAGGTAAGATAAGAAATTGATTACCCGTGGTCATGAGTGCAGATTTGATTGCTGATGGAGACCAATTTGGGTGAAAAGACTTAACAAAAGCAGCAGCAGCAGCTACATGTGGGCAAGCCATGGATGTGCCTGATAGGATGGTGTAGTTGACAGAGCTTTTGTCGATAAAGGAATTCGATGGTGAAGCCATTGGTGAATACGCCGCCAGAATTTCCACACCAGGGGCCATTACATCAGGCTAAAATTATAATAACATAAAACATTTCATTAATATTTGTAAAGGAAACACAAAACTATTATAGATAGACAACTATAATAATATAATGGTTAACTTATGTTAGGCGGATCATGTTTTCAACCCTCAACTGCTCGATCAACATGTAATATTTTAATGTGAGCATTCATTCCGATTAGTTTATACACAATACAAGCAATGGTTCTGACTGTGTAATAAAACTTGGAGACAACTCCTATATATGTAGCTGCTAGCATATGGAAAAAAGAAGTCAAGATTGGGAGCAGTCTGATAAAGCCAATTTCTACTAACAAAATTAAGAACACAAACTGAAAACAAATTTCTTCTCTCCTAATCTGATGCAATTGACAAGCTATTTATAATGAAGGAATTAAACTACCTAATCTACGAATTGGAACGTGAACTTGGTACTGGAAGTAAATGGGTAAATTAAGGTCCTAAGAAAAAGGAAACATGATCTAACACTAATTGCATGCAAGGGAATTAGAAGAAAAAGTCAAGATTTGGTTAGCAAGGCAAAGCTCTAAACTTTCAGTTTGATTAAGATTAGAAGTAAGAAAGGTAGTTCTTTTTGTCTTGGTTAAATCGGTGTAATAGCCCTCTAAACGAATGTATGAACTACTCGCTAGCTTTTCTAATATATAATATTCTTGCTGTTAAAAAAGAAAGAAAGAAAAACGAAGTACCTTTATAATATCGGATATAAATTTGCTAGGACCTCGGGAAGAAAATGAGGCAACAAGAGGAGCAGCTGGATTATTGTATATAGCTTGGCTTTTGAAAATTTGAACTTGAGGTTTCCTGTAAAAGTGACGAGTAATCATTTAACATAAACATGCAATTACGTACATAATTAAACAACAGAGATTTAATAATAATAATAATAATAATAGTAAAAAAAAATTCATACTTTGTAGAGTTTTGGTAGGTTTTGACCAAGTTCATGTCATTTATACCAAGAGCTGCAACAGGTAATGGTCCGACATCTGAGTAATTGTATCCGTGATTTGGGAGGATACAGCCAAGGGCTCCTGCTTGTTTTACTAAATCGATCAGAAATCGCATCGTCAAAGGCCTTCATTACATCTCTAGCCTCGCATGAGAGCTCGTCGCAGACTTTGTAGACAGCCAGCCTTGCAGAAGGAACTCCCCCTCTGGCAATTCCTTTTGCTATACCGTAATAGCTTGCTTCATGAACATGTCTCCCGGCTGCTATAGAAGAAGCATGAGTTCCATGCCCTTTCGTGTCCCTAACAGAATCTCCCTGCCACATGGATTGATTGTGAGCAATATTATAAAAATTGTGTTAGTCTCCACATTACATATGGTAATTATTAATCAACAGTACTAAATAGAAACATGCATGATATTTAGGAATATTAGATCACTTCACATATTAAAGTTACCTGTTGCAAGTGAAATTTGTCCCACCCTGACACTCCCCTTTCCACTTTTTGGGAATTGGCCCGAGGCCTTCATCACTGAAGCTCTCCGACTCTGGCCATATTCCACTGTCAATGACACCAATAATCGTGTTGCTCTCACCAACGGGACTGCGTTCGATTGTTGTTGGAAATCCCATGAAGTCCCAAGACCTCGTTGTCTGGAGGTGCAACTTTTGACATGGGAATACGGAGACGATCCCTTCATAACCTGCATTTAATTAGGGGTTTTAATCAATCTTAGCAATATATATCCAACTCTTGTTTGCTCAGTTTTTCTACTCGTTTCTGATATATCTCAATTTTTGTTCGCTTAAGAAATTTTGATTGTTGGAAACACTCTAAATGCAAAGAATCAACAGGCTTAACATTGACCCATTCTCACTCATTTTTTTTTTTTTTTTTTGCAAAAATAGATCTATTTTCAGTATCCTTTTCAAAAATGGGTTGGTTTAATATGATTTGCAAAAATGGGTTAATGGTCACTCAATCAACAAACAGTTTTCTATGTTTTCATATTTAACCCTTTAAGTTTCCTTTTTCAATTAACAATGTAACATAACTATAAAGTAATATTAAAACTGAATATAATTGAATGACCTGATTGAATTTGTGGTTATCCCTTTATATTTCTTTTCCTTTTTAAAGTCACTCAGATATACAATAAGGAATGTCGCGCGGTAATTTACCAAGAAAATAAATTATTTGTATAAAATATATTTGATAAATATATGTTGTTAAAAGCAACTAGGTAACTATTATCAATTATTAGATATTATTTTTGATAATATTAAAAAAGATTAACTTAATCAGTCTCGATATTTAACTCAGATACATATATCGTATGCCATACTTACTTTAGAATATTGTTTTGTCCAAATATATCAGAGATTTAACTATTTAATTAACTAAGAAAAAATAGAAAACAATGAAAAATATAATACAATTACTAAATAACATGCAAGTAATTAACATAAAAAAAGTTAACTATCTTTAAAAATTTAAAAGAAAATATATATTTAAAATCTCAATTAAGATTCTATACAATATGAATTATATAATCTTGAAATTTATGTTAATATATCTTGTAATTTCATATGTAATTGATTATATAATTTATTGATATGTAATCTGTAGTTTCTTTAATTATTTTCATGTTTTAATAATTTTAATATTTGATTGTAGTTCAAATTTTTATTATATAAAAAAAATATGTCTAAGGTAAAAATAAAAATGAGAGAGATGTAAACATAATTTTTAAAATAAGCAAAAAAAAAAAACAATTATTAAAAAAAATAAAAAAAAATAAAAAAAAAATAAATAAAAAAAAAACGTTTTGGTGATAAGTGGGACCATTAACCTATTTTTGCAAACCATATTAAAAGTAACCCGTTTTTGTAGAGTTATAAAAATAGACCCATTTTTCCAAAAAAAAAATTAAAAAAATAACTAAATAAATAAGCTCCTGTTTTAGAAAATGTTTTGTCATTTGGTTTGTTAATTTTGGATTAATATGTTGTTAATTTTATGTGATTACATTAATTTGGTCATGATGGCGAGTGGCGACTGCAGAAGAATGGACAAAAGGGATGAAAGTTTTTATACTTTTAATTGTTGCTTGATTTAATTTGAAAAAAAAAAAAAAAAAAAAAAAAAAAAAAAAAAAAAAAAAATCAAAATGCAACAAAATCTGATCACTGAAACTTACCAGCCAACTTTTGTTGTTCTTCTTGGGAGAGATAGGCAGCAAATCCATTGAAGCTTCTATGGTAACTCCTTATCAGTGCTTTGCTTGCGAACCTAGCCACAAGTTTAAAGAACATATATAAACAACAGATATGGTTTTTAATAACTAAAATGTACGTAATTCAAAAAAAATGAAATACCTGGGTTTGGTAATATTTTTCAAGATTTCATGGTGATGCAAAGAAGCCGAATATTCACCTTCAGGTAGAAATCCCATGTAAGCGATAAAAACCTACATAAAAAATTTGCATTAGATTCGGAGTTGCACATCCATATCTCCAAGTTATGTCTTTATACATATTTTAGTCTTCATGGATGAAAGATGTGCACATCATGTGAGACTAAGCTTTTGTTTTAGTTTCGGATGATATAAAATAAATGATAATAGTTTATATAGAATTTCGTTTAGAATTAGAGTTTGGGTTATTTCGGTAAGAAATAATACATTTAATTCCCATCTTCTATGTCAAAATAAGTCAATATTCAGATTTTAGTTATCAAAAGTGTGTTATTAATTATACAACAAAAAGTTCAAAGAAATTATATATCATAAAACTCAAGTTCTAAGTTGAGATTAAGATATATACTAACCTTTCGGTCTTCATCAATTGCAGAAACAACTACAACTAAAGAAATGAATATGCATGTCTGGAGCACATTAATCATCATCTTCATATTCTTCTTCCTCATTAGATCTTTTTTCAGTGGTGAATCGGACAGATTAAGTGTGCATAACTAGATTCCCATAGAGGGTATTTATAAAATTTAAACACAGGTACCAGGATGATTTTTCTTCTCTCTCCTCTTCAAAGCATCTCTCCTATTTTCTATATTATGTACCTGTCCATGCATGAGGAGATTTTAAAAACAGTGTAAGCAAAAAAAGTAATTACGGATATAAGGTGGTTTGTAAAGTATTTACAAAATAATGGTAGATACTTGTCGACCCAAACATTTTTTTATTTTTTATATTAAATAAATAATAAAAGAAAAGAATTGTAACCACCGGTCCAACGGTTAGTAACGAATTTAGAACGTAAAACCAAATGGTTCACTATTTAAATGAAACCGATAGAAAATGAAATATCAAAAAATACTAATTGTGGTTCCGGATCAGGTCGGGTCATATAAAAAAATGATTAATTTCTTACAATTATATCCGACGATGTCTTTTCACAATTTTATCATTATTAATATTTTCTAAGACATTTTTTTCAATATATGACACCAAATAGGCACAACTTGACCAACGATTGTGAATGATCGATGCACCAAGTATGTGATGTGAAACATGATGTTGTTGATTCATGTTTGTTTCTTTTTTAATTTTAAATTTAGTTTGTATTGGGCTATGTGTAACACCCCCACTTATTAAATTAATTAATTAATTAATTAACGTATAGTAGTCCTAAAATCAATAATTATATATCAATGGTTGGTCTCGAGGAGTTAATTGTCATAGATTTAGAAGTTGGGGGTTAAAAGTGTAAGTTCCGGGATATATTTTGTGAGGATTGTTAGAAGACAGGGGGTGTTTAGTATCATTTGGACCTAATATGAAAGGATTTATGGAAGCAAGGGCTAAAAAGTAAATTTCGGACCTAAGTTGAAAAGGTTTTGTTGAGGGAGGGGTTGCATGTTAGTTATTGGGACTTAACTTGAAGGGTTTTTGGATGGTTGGGGTTAAAAAGGTAAAATTCGGACTTAATTTGTAAAGGATTTCAAGAGGCATGGTTTAAATTGTAAATATTGGATTAAGATTGAAATAAAATGTTATGGAGAGGGGCCATTCCTGCCATTATGGAAGGAAGTTTGATAGGGCACGATATTTAATTGTTTCATTGCTCTCTGTAACCCTAACCCTAACCAATGTTCAGCCCCCACCCTCTCCACCCTCCTTCTCCTTCCGCTACCACCATCTCTTCCATAGTCACCCGTGCACCACCGTGTAGAGGACGCAACCCATCGAGTCAAGTGTCGTTGCCGCCGTTTCTGTTGTTACTGGAGACGGAGACCGGCGATGGAGCGTAGTTCACTCGGAAACAACGGGAAGCAAGTCGTAGCCACCTGATGCCACATGTAATGTCGTGAATGGCCAGAGAAACCCCCAAGATCGGAATGTGAGCTGTAAACGAAGAAGAGCAGGTCACGAACAACCAGAATCTCTCCGTTAGACCACCTCATCTCGCATTTCTGTCCTTCTCGAGGTGTTCGACATCACGAGTGTCACTGTTGCCGTCGGAAATGGCTTTCAGCTGCCATTTCAACTGGCTCCAACGCCACCTGCTGCCTAGTCGATGGATTGGAGCGGTGGGTCTCGTATCTAGAATGGATATACATTACTGTTGAGGCTGTAAACCACTAGCCATTGCAGTCACACCACCGCAACAGCTGTTTTATCGGTCCTTTCGTTGCACCGTTGTCTACTGCCATCTTTCGTCGCCACCGGCCACCGTAGTAAGTGGCTGTGTGCGTTTTTACTATGTGTTTATGTGTGTGTGCGGCTGTATTTTCCATTGTTAGTGTATGTTGTGCGTGTTTTGTCTAGCCGGAAAATCATGAAAGCCACCTCCACCACCATGAGGTGGTGGCTGCCACCATATGCCACCGCCGGCCACCACTAGGGTGGTTGTGTGCGTGTGTGTTTATGTTAGTTAGTGTGTGTTTATTTTTGGATTAAAGCATTGTAATTTTAATTAGCAAAAAGAATAATGAAAAGAACCATAACCACCACCGTGAGCCGCCATTGACACCACTACCCAAGGTGGTAGTGGGTGGTGCCCGACTAGTGAAACCCTAATTGACCTAATGAAACCCTAATGGGCTTAAAGATTTAGTTTTGGGTCTATTGGGCTATGATTGGGTGGGAAACACTAATTAGGGTTTAGAAAACCCTAATATTAGTTTTATGGCCCTTGGACATATTGGGACCCATATTTGGGCCATTGGAATGGAATTGTGAATTACACCCAATCACACCATACGATTTATCTAGTAGAGTGATGGACTTAATGGACTAACTCCTTAATGGGTTAAGTGAGAAACACTTAACCCTAATTGTCATTTTATGTGAAACCCTAATTTTACTTGGGCTTTAAGTTGGGTCTTCCTATTGGGATTTGGTGATTGGGATAATAATGGACCATCCAAGAGCAAGCAAATGGACTAGAATAATTTAATGGACTTAGGGTAAGGCCCATGTAAGGGGTTTGGGCCCAATTTGGAAAATTGGACCATAGATGGGCATAGTTTGGGCCTTGATGATTATGAGATTTTGGTCCATCAGAATGTTAAGTGTTGGACCAAGAATAAATGGTTGGGCCTTAAGGCAAGACCATGTAGAGGTTTGGACCCAATTTAGAAACTTGGGCTATAGTTGGGCATTGGTTCATTATTAGACTTTTGGGCCTTTGGATTGATCCTTGGGCTTGAGTCAAGCTAAGTTATGGGTAAAGTAGTCTTTTACCCCAAGCATGGATTTATGGATATGTGTTGGAACCCAATTATTAATTGAGTGTTATTTTGATGTTGACAGATTTGGGAATCTGTCATCCAACAGCTAAGGTTTTGTTTGTAGGACTTCAGCAGTGTGAGGTGAGTTTTCTATAGTAGGAACGGGTCGAAGAAACCAATGTCGGCCCGTTTAAATATGTTAATATATGTCGGGCTTAGGCCCGATGTCGGGGATAACTCGATGCATCTTATATGTTCCGGACTTCGATCCGATATCGGGGCGGTCCCGAGAATAGTATATGTATGTTTGATGTCTTTCTGATTCATGCATGTTATGTGTTATGTATGTCGGGGTAAGCCCGATGCAGAATTAGCTTATATTTACCGGATTTCGGTCTGATGTCGGGGCAAGCCCGAGGAAGTTTAATATGTTTGTGTGTTATATGTTTATGTAATATGTGCTATGATATGTATTTCGGACTTTAGTCCAATGTCGGGCAGGGCCCAATGCAGTGGGCAAAGCCCAGTATGTGCTGTTATGTGTTTATGTTATTTGCATTATGGATGTGTTTATATGTATACTGGATTTCGGTCCAATACCGGGTGGGGCCCGATGTAGCGGGCAAGGCCCAGTGTATGATATGTGTTAGTATGGGAAGACTCACTAAGCTTCGTGCTTACAGTTTTCAGTTTTGGTTTCAGGTACCTCGATTTTCATATAATGATAATATTTATAATTTTGTTAATGATTTAAAAATGAAAATTTTGGACTGTATTTATGGGATGTTTCACTATGCATATTGTATTATACCTTAAAAATTTAGGGCTATTAAAATATATAATACAGGCCTTCAAATGGTGACCTACCTTATTTTTAGCAAAAAAATTAGGGTAGTTTACTTAAAATGATTAAAGTAGGTCACAAGAATTTAATTATATATAAAATATTAAATATAAATAAAATAAGGTAGGTCAAGTGACCTAACTTGTTAACATGTAGCCTCGCCACTGCCAGTGGTCCTCCATCTCCTTTCTTCTTTGATTCTGTCACCTGTCTTGTGTAATTGTGTTTCAAATTGTTTCTTATTGTCGAAGAGTTCACAATCTTGTTGTTGAAAGGAAAGAAGCAAAGGAAGAGTTTATGGAAGGTCAATATTGTCGTAGAACGCCAACTCACAACAATGATGAACATCATGGGGGAGGGGGGGGAGGGGGAAGTGGGCACCTGCACAGGGCCCAATTTTTCTCATTATATATTTTTATTTAAGAATAAATATTATAATAAAGATAAGGATCATTTTTCTCTTGTTCGTCCTGGACCATTGAAAATATTTAATTTTTCAGGACCGATCCTGATGAACATCACATTCCCTTGTGCCGACCAACCACTTGCCCGGAATGCACCATCGGTGCTTACAATTCATCCGACGAGGCCATGAATGATGATATGTTTGAGGGAATTAGGACTGGGTAGATTAAATTAACGGACCACCTGTTTATTTTCTCATTCCATAATTGGATAACCATATTCAAGCATCGAGTGTGAAAATACAGTGGTGGTATGGTGTTGATAAGTTTGCCAAAGTATAATTAAAATTTTAAAATAATAAAAAAAATCATTAAAAACAAATTACTATCCTTTAGTATTTAATTTATAAAGTACTACCATTAGGTAAATGTTTTATTTTAAATTTTAAAATACTATGCTTAAGTAGAAACCTCCATGCATGAGCATCTTTTTCACAATAATAGAAACTTCCATGCTTAAGTAGAAACCTTCATGCATAAGCATCTTAAGTATTGTTTGCCTAAAAAATAATGTTCGAGCGTGATGTATTCAAAATAATAGAACTTTGGTGCTCGCTGTCATACACAACCATGCATTCTAATTTTAAAACTTTCCTAGTGTGTGTATACAGACACAAACACATACACACATATACATACATAAACACTTATGGACTTGAAAAAAAATATATTATGTCTAAGAAATATAGTTACAATGCTATAAGACGTTCAAAATTTGCTGCAAATTTCATTAACAATTGAAAAAAGGAAAATATTTTTTAATGAAGCACTGTACGATGCAATAGAAGAATAACTCAAAAGGCTTATCTTATTAATGATGTCATATGTAGTATAATTTGTAGTATAATGAATCTTGTGCAACTTATTAAGCATTGTATATTTGTAGGGAACGCAAACGCTTTTAATTTGTTGTAAAATATATATATTATTTTCCTATTAATAAAACGAATTGCTAAAGTTTTTCGGATAGTTAATAAATATTTTTATAATGCTATAACAAACAACGTTAGAAAACAAATCACATAACGTGAAAATTGTTTACTAGTTATTGTTACACAATATTGTACATGTTTATATCTTTTGGTTGTTTGTTAACATTTTGTATAGTAATTCAGAATGGTGGATGTAAGAAG